TCAATCCAAACATGAAAAAATCTAAAAGTATTAAAAACAATTACCATTCTCTGAATAACTCTCTATTGATGATAATCCTTTTTCCCAAAGACAGCAACATCAGGTTCAACAATATTAAACAACTTAGCAACAATAGTAGCAACACCTCTAAAGAAAACAGACCTACTCTTCCCACAAAGACCCTTTTCATGTTTCTCAACTCTAACCCAACTCTCATGTCTCAAACCACTTTAACACAAGACACCACCTCACCACCAACAACAACAACAACACCATCACCACCCTCACTCTCCCCATAATCATACAAATTTTTTGGATTAAAAACAACTTCAACACCACCAGGAACAGACAAAAGCTTCTGAACATCACCTTCAAAATCAGAAGGGTAAGTGGAAAGATCTTCATTAGGTGAGAACTGAACCGGGTTGACGTAGATTGATACTGCAACAACATTGGCGTATTTGTGAGCTTCGGTGATGAGAGAAAGATGCCCTTGGTGAAGGTAACCCATGGTGGGAACGAAAGCAATGAGTTTGGATTGGGATCTCATTGATCTTGAACAGTTTCTCATCTGGTTTTTGTCTCTGATTATTAGAGGTTGTTTTTGTTTCATTGGGATCAAAAGGGTTTGGTGGGTTTTGTTGTTGGAAATTGAAAATAGGTAAAATTCGTTTTCTGTTTGTTTGTTTGATAGGTACAACGTTGCAGACGGCGAGAAGAACTCAGAAGGAACAATCGGAGAGTACGCATGTTCTGCTCGTGAATTGAATGTATCCATTTTATAGTTTGATTTTAAAAAAAAAAACTATTTAAACATTAGTAATATGTATAACTTTCCATTTTTCATTTATAAAAATGAACTAGTAATATTGATAAAGATGTAATAATAAATGTACAGTATGACTTTATATTATTTATTTTTTATCATTTAGTTTGTCTTGGATCGGACCTTCTTCTTGATCTTGATTCGTCTACAGTAGTTTAGCTTCTCTGCTTCAACAATACTATACCGATTCTTAGAAGGCTTCTTGCATTTCATGAGTGAGAATTTTACCGAGAAAATGAGTAACAAAAATCGATATGCACCACTCTTAGCACCGTTTACTTCCGATGTTATCAAAGATCCTTACAGGTAAATTTCCGCCTCTGATTATTATCTATATTTTTGACTAATTAACCATTTGATTTTCGTTTTGTGTTAATCATGTTTTGTTTTAAGTTTGTTATTATTTTAATTACTTTTTTTGACCGATATTACTTTTTAGTATTGTTAATTATTGTGTAAAAAACTATTAATGAGAGTTATCTTAATTTGGTTTTGCTGAAGTTCAAGAAGCTTTCTTCTCTCTTTAGCCAAAGCTAAAGCTGGTAGTTACAGACCACTGAAATTATCAAGGGAGATTCAGTTTGCAATGTCTTGGACATGATAACAACAAACCTTCCCTTCCTCATTATGTTTTCCAAGCGATTGTGTATTGTTTATGTATAGATTGTATGGATAAACAACTTAATGAACCGCTTAAAGCAAATTCCTGTTAGTTACATCATTGTAATTTGTACTAACATCATTGTAATTTGTTTAGTAAAAAATTGTTTGGATAAACATCTTAATGAACCGCTTATAGCATAATCAATTAATAGACAACATTTATGCTAGTAGATAAGCTTATAATAAGAGCAGAGATAGTACTGATTACCTGGTTTGCTATACCAGAAGATTGGACGGCCAATTCAAGACCTGCCTCATAGCTTGTGTTAGGAATGTTCATCATCATAGAGTTATTCTGATTCAACATTTGCGAAGACAATCTGTTAACATATTCTCCATACTTAAGATGATCCTCAATGATACAATCTTTTAACAATTCACTTTTTTTATTGCAGTTTGTGGACAACAATGATCTTCTTTATTTCTCAAGAAAAATACGAGTATCACTTGTAAAGTTACTCATTGATTTCACCAAATTGTCATAAAGACTCGAATAAAATTCCAACTTGCATGTAGTGATTAAGGGATTGTAATTGCACTCTTAATCAAATTTTTACTGACACTTGACCAAAAATATGGGAGATTATGAATGAATAAGATAAAATTGTTTAAGAAAAACAGCAATATCATTTCCAAAACATTTGCAGCATCGAAGTGACCCATATATGAAAACTAACCTTTTCACATGTGGCCTCCAAAACATCCTTTAGCATTACAGAATGATCAGGTTCGGAGATGAAACTAAGGGGGTAGCCATGCATCTCTCTGGTCTTCAACCAAAGTTGGGCACACTGGCGAGCTAAACTGAGGAAAACGAAGATGAAGGAAAAACATCATGAAATGCTGAAAAATCAAGACACATCGCAACGAATGCAGTGATTAAGGGATTGTAATTGCAATTTTGGGGTGGGCAACTGCCTTCATTGAAAACTCCTTTGTATTTGTCCATGTCTTACTCAATTGTAACACATAATAAGACTTGCAGATGACTATTGCAAGGGATAACAGTAATATTCAATCAGGATTAAGATTATATCTTCTTTCTAGATGAAAGAAAATATTCAAATTATATCAAACTATCAAAGTGATGCAATTACATATAAAGATCCTGCATGTTTCCAAATTACATATTACAAATCAGGCAACAATCAATACCTAAGCATGCGACCAAAATAACGAGCACGCTCTGTTACTCCAACAAAGCCTCTGGAGTCTAAAATATTAATTATGAGACGTTTTCAGAAGCTGATCATACCTAGCATGTAGTCATAAAACATATGTAAGAAGTAAAGACAGTGGACAAGGAGAAAGCACATTAAAAAGACTGATGCTAAAAAATATGATGATAATATCTAAAATGGCATAAACATAAGCAGGGATTGCAAGGCCTGAAGAAAGTAAACGACGAGATTCCTCCTCAAAGAATCAAAATGTTTTTGAAGATGATCAACACTAGCATGCTCCAAATAATATGCACTCATTTCCTTTCTAGAATAGAAAACAAAAGACTGTCAGCATCATTAGACAGTGCAGTCAAGTTTAACAAAACACAAATAATAGATTAATAGCTTTTAAGAATCTAAAAAAAGCACTGCTGGTACACAGAGTGCTCTAAAGAGATCAGATTTGTCAATTTCTTCCTCTCTTCTGCCCTTTCCATAAACTATGGCTCTCTTGCCCTGATGTGTTCAATTTTGTTTTGTTTGCTTTCTAACCGTTTTGTTACCCTGACGCATTATCCTTCGGTTGATTGAAAGTAATTCCTTCTTTTAAAGTACTACCGTTGACTTTTAATTTCCATTATCCTTCTATGTCATAGACGCATAAAAGGATAACGAAACTTAAAAAGAAAATTGTAGTACTTTAAAGGAAAACATTATTTTCAATCAACTTAGTTTGTTATAAAAGAAAATGCCAGATTGAAGAAAACAATTGAAAGGGAAAATGTAACATTGATGGCAACTCTAAAAAATATTTCACCATAAAGAAAATAAAATCAAATGCAATCCAAAAACCAGTAGACAGAATAAAAAAGTACTCATTCTCCAAGAATAGCTCTCCATAAGTAATTCCATCAGAATATTTGATCTTTTTGAAGTGATCAACTCCCTATTACAAAACATATGAAACTTTAGAAAGTTATTTAATGGATGATATAGATAGAGTGCATGAAGAAAAATAGTTGGTCCTCCAAATTGTCACCAAATTAGTCCCCCTAAAAAATTTCACTGGTCACCCAATCTGTTAATTTTATATATCATCGCATTAGTCCTTCATAAGGATGAATATGTAGACCTTTAGGAACTAAATTGGTTACCAAAGTTTTTGGATCACTAATGCAGTGGCATGTAAAACTTTGAACGACCAACACTCCAAGCCATAAGTTATTTCTACCGATACTGGAGATAACTGGAGACTTCCAGCCTGGAAGGAAAGCACAATTAAAATATACAAAATGGTATAGCAGAGAACCACTCAAAAAGGTTTCTGGAATTGAACAGCCCAAAAAAGGTAATATGTAACGAAAACATGATAACCAAAAGATTGTGTTCTCTTCTCTAAAATCTCCGCCATTGTTAAGCAGGGAGTGTTGAACTCCACCACTTTTAATTGTTTCTTCTCTATGGTAATTTTAGTCCCTGTGTGTAAGTACTGATATTTACTCTGAGCAACAAAACATACCGGCTGAAAGTAGGTGAACTGAGTAATCTCCATTCCGTCCACCCAGATTTCCCATCCCAAACCCCAGGCACCAAGAACCTATATACACTTTTAATTAACGTATCGAAATGTAGATGACAACGTTACCAGCACAAAATTTAAAAACTTTAATTGCATTTCAATAAGCACAATTATAAATTAAAACAGAATATTACCGGGCTCTCCCAATTGTCCTCTACAAATTGTATGTCATGAGCAGTAACATCAATACCTATCAAAAGTCTTAGGGAGAAATTTGGCTCCTAATCATTATTCAATTGTTGCTCGTATGCCCTCAGACTCCCCAACAATTTTTTTATACTCAATATAATCAACCGCATTTTACTTGCACTATCTTCAAGTTCAAACATGTATTATACTTACCAATGACTAAACAAACAAATGAATGATTATTGCCGGATATATTAGCAATATTGTCTTGGATAAAGCAGACACATAAATAAAAAATTGTAGAGCTTTAACAAACAAACCATGAACAGCCTTGACCTGTAGTGCATTTTGAACAATGTATGCACAACTACAATTTTTGTTGTTGTGACCTGATAGGTATTCCACGTTTCAAAAGAGATCTGTCAGTTGAACTTCTTTACCACTCATCAATTTCATTAGCCCGGAGAACAGGCAGAGGATGTGAAAGTTGCCTGTTTGAGCATTTCTAATCAACAGAAGAAGTTCAGCTTCTAAACAAAAAATGTCAAAATTCAACTTTATTGTGGTGCCAACGATATTACTACAAACCTTATGTACCATCCAACAGGGTTGGAAGCAGCTTTTCATAAAATTGAGCATGCTACAGGAATGCATCAACATTTAGTTGATCAGCCAAAGATGGGCATCCACCGACTAATTTCATGAGCACAGAGATGACAACCTTTTATACAGTTAAAAAATGAATATTTATAATTAAAACAACAAATTTAACATAAGTTCGGATTAAACCAATGTTTAGATAAACTATAAATTTTGACATGAGCATACTTTAAGGTCTTGAGCAATGACAAGAGTTGCATGACTACAAGTTAACTCAGCTGCTCGAAACCAGCGGAATTCCGCTCTTCCAGTATCATATAAGTGTTTCTACGCCTAATTAAACGGATTATAACCAAATCCAAACATGCCCATATAATAAATCACAAATCTTAATTCTCAAACAAATAAATCAAAAAATCAACACTTACCAATACCACCATTCTTCCATCATAACACTCAACTCCAAACCATTTACAAGGTTCAACCCAAACTCCATCATCAACCCAATTCGACAAAGCATTAAAAGGATCACTCACAATTCCCTGCTTTTGAACTTCAAAAGAGCTTTACCAGCAAACAGTAAAAAAAATCAATTTTCTTTCACCTTTGTTTCCACCCACAATACACAACCACAACCCAAACACTGTAACAAAACACTCCTAAAATCTTTGAGGCATGTAAATTTCCGTTTTCTCATTATTGTTGCGTATATATGCTAGCTAACTCAGGGGAAAACACTGACACAGATTCTTAATATTTTTTCATCATTCAAAGAACACAAACCAAAACACTGTAACAAAACACTCCTAAAATCTTTGAGGCATGTAAATTTCCGTTTTCTCATTATTGTTGCGTATATATGCTAGCTAACTCAGGGGAAAACACTGACACAGATTCTTAATATTTTTTCATCATTCAAAGAACACAAACCAAAACACTGTAACAAAACACTCCTAAAATCTTTGAGGCATGTAAATTTCCGTTTTCTCATTATTGTTGCGTATATATGCTAGCTAACTCAGGGGAAAACACTGACACAGATTCTTAATATTTTTTCTTTAAAAAAACAAACTAAACAAGAAATGAATCGGTTCTGAAAAGTATGGTAAAAGAAAAAGAAAAATTGCGAAAACACTCCTAAGTCTGCCTTAGTTCATCAACAAACAGAACAATATTTGAATGGCTAAATCAACATTACTTCATGAAGAACCTAAACCATATCTGCATATAGTGTAATAACTAAAAGCTACCTTAATTCATCAATCAAGAAACAACAATATTTGAATGCCTAAATAATCTATCTTAGTTCATTAAGAAACAAAACCAAATTTGAATGCCTAAATCAACTTAACTTCATGAAGAAACAAAACCATATTTGCAAATAGTATTGTAAATAAAGATAATTAAAATCAAATCTTGTTGCGACATGGAGGCAGATATGGTTTAGTACTCTTATGCAATAGATTGACATTATCCAGAACCTTTGAAGCAGAAACTTTTTTAGAAACATAATCTGTGTGAAGGCATAAAGAGCCTTTAAATGCTCTTGTTAAACAATTTACAATATTGTAAGATGGCACATAAGTAATAGAAAGAAGATAATCAAATAACAGTATATACCTAGTTCAGTATAAGGTGAAGGTAGGAGATCAAGCAAACATTCATACACACTGATCAAGAAAATAGAGTTACAAATTAAGCAATCTATAGATGTGTCCTTCTCTCAGCACTTAATCTCCCACTCTTTTAATCAATATGGTATTTTTCCACACTTATTTTAAACACTTACAACTCATACTTATTTTTCTCCTCAAGACAAATATCTACATGTTGTCTATACCTTTCACTCGAGATCTGCTAGCAAGACAAATATCTACATGTTGTCTATAACTTTCACTTGAGATCTGCTATGGGGTTTTTTTCTATGGACCTGTCGGAACAAATTAATTGACTTTATAGAAAAATGGTATGCCTCTTATCACATCACATTAAAGCTTGTTCATAAAGATAAGGATAATGCATATTCAATAATTCGGGAGCATGAATACAAAACTCACTCTTCATGCACAGGACACGCCAATAATGGATTCCACCAATATGAACAAAAAAATAATTATTGACTTGGTCAATTTGGGACAAGGTTTCAGTGACTTTGAATTATGATAGCTTTGATAACTCTAGCTAAACCTAAGACATCAACAATAGGAGTCATTTGCACAGTTTTCCCCAAAGGACCTAACTACTTCAGAAATTGAATTCTCTATGTTAACCTAACAATTAATGTTAGCATTTTAGGTGTTGGTAATATTGGAAAAAACAGAAACAAAATCAATTGTGATCACTGGCCATTCCATTGGAGGAGCTTCAGCATCTCTATGCACTACCATTTCTTCATCATTATCAGTAATGTGCATCACTTTTGGCTCACCATTACTCGATAACAAATCTTTTTCCCAAGCAATTTCCGAAGAAAAATGGGGTGGAAATTTCTGTCATGTAGTATCCAAACATGACATAATACCAAAAGTTCTGTTTGCACCTATTACACCCCTCACTCCTCAGCTAAACTGCTTGCTTCAGTCTTGACACTTGTCAATGACTTCACCAGAATTTGGAAAACTTGCAGTTCAAGTTTCTGACCAAGACAGATCTGAGTTGTTCACTGCTGTATTGGATTACTTGGAAGCTGCAACAAAAAGTCAAGAAGCTTCCGGGTCGATTTCGTTTCATCCTTTTGGAAACTACATTTTGTTTCCGAAGAAGGAGTTTTGTGTGTGGATAATCCAAACACAACTATAAAGATAATGCATTTGTATTAGTGAAATCATAAATATAAAGATTTAGTATTAGTGAAATTATAAATTTTAATTAAATCATAAATTTTAATTAAAAATCGACTAATTAATATTAAATTATCTTTTTTTTTTTGGAATGTTTTTGGATTAATGGTTTTATCCAAATAATGACTCGAAGAATCCTTGATTGATGAATGTTAGTGAGAAATATTTATTGTGATTGAAGTGTTTTCTTTTAACTAGAGTTTGGAGTTTATACCAACCTAGCGAGTAGCATTTATCCTCGAAGTCAATCTTAAGATAGGTGTCTAGCATTAAAAGAGAAGTGCTTATAATCATTATTTTAGTGAAGAAGATTCTAAAAACAAATGTCTTTTTAAAATTGAATCCTAGACTAATCATCGCGTTCATTTGTTAGTAAAATCGTATATTCCAATCAACAATATTCTAAAAAGACAAAAAGAAATTGGTTGTTTAGAAGTATATTTCAAACAGAAAAAAATATTGTTTAACACTACACTTCAAAAATGCGTGATATTTCAATTGTACAACAAACCACATGGCTTGTAGCTTGTGCTATCCTTTGTGCTTTGCATGCCAAAATATTGAAATAGAATAAATACTTAAGAAACAAAACGCGGTCTAAATTATTCAATCCCAAGTTTTGCAGTCACTAAACTTCAATCCACTCCTCTACTGTCATGAAGTTGTTATTTAGCATTTAGTCTAATTCTGTATAGCAACTCTCGTAGAATTTCGCAAGGCGGTTAAATGCATCTCATCCATAGATTGTAGAAAAATATCCCTTATGTTTTGTACTCTATGAACTGCTAGAACTACTAACCAATAGCTATGTGCTCCATGTATATATATGATGACAAAGAAGGTTAGATTAAATTATAAGTTGATTTCCATATTGTCTATAAGCCTGACCTTCCCAAACAATGCAGCAACACAGAACACAACAGGACTTTTGATCAACTCCACTTTCTCTAGACTCTGTTGATCAACAATCTGCATGAAAATATCATCAAAATAACTTGATATTCAGAAATTTAGTGCTCTTAGGTTGAAAATAAACTATAGATGCAATGTAAATAGTTTAGGAGGATTGTAAAATTATGCACTTTTAGAGAAGGTTTAAGCGAAGATTTGATTATACTCCAGAAATATTAACATCTGACCTCAGCATAGTCGATTCTTCCCCCGGCGTCAGTAATGCATTGGATGACTAAGTTCCTCAATTTCTCACATTGTATCTGACCGTCTTCTGCGGCTGACTTGGCTTTTGATAATGATTTGTTTATAGATAGTGCCTGCAAAAGGATTTGAAAGTGTTACCTAGTTGTAGAGAGAACGGCAAATAATACAAACAATGGATTAAGGCCTAGTAAAGCTTAAAATAAACCTTTTCCCTCTCTTCAGATGAAAGATGTACATTGCGTGAACTCATTGCTAGACCATCATTTTCCCTTGTTATTTCACAACCTATCACTTTTATGGAAAAATCAAGATCGCGAACCTGCGAAAAAGAATCCGTCAATCTATTAAAACCAACATCCCTCAACAATAATAGGTTTAGAATTTAAGGAAGATCTTTGGTTACATTTTACCCTTATATTCATCATTTTCCCTCTAACTTCTTAGTTCTAAAATCCTCTCTCCCTCTCCCAATATTTCTCCTGAAGATTCTATTATTAGTTTCGCTCTTAGAGAAGAATTGGAGATAGCATCCACTGATCAACTAAGATAGTTGATCAGTCATAGTATCCAAATAGAATGACAGAAGGAGACGGATGGATCCATTTTGAGACAATGGTTAAACATGTGGAATAATATTTTTAAGTCATACCATGGAAGGTGGTGGTGAACAGGTGCAAGGGAACAAAGCGGAATGGAGATTTCACTTCATCGTTGGGATATTTGAAGACAAATAAGTCATTCTAAATGCATCATAAATAAAGTAAATTTTAATGGTTCTATTTATGATTTTAACTAATTCAAACCGTAGAGTTTAACTATCATCACATATCATTTTATACCATCTTATTTCATCAATTCAAACATGAAAAAACTAAAAAGTATTAAAAACAATTACCATTCTCTGAATAATTTTCCATTGCTGATAATCTTTTTTCCCAAAGACAGCAACATCAGGCTCAACAATATTAAATAACTTAGCAACAATAGTAGCAACACCTCTAAAGAAAACAGGTCTACTCTTCCCACAAAGACCCTTTTCAAGTTTCTCAACTCTAACCCAACTCTCATGTCCCAAACCACTCTTCTCAACACAAGACACCACCTCACCACCACCACCACCACCATCACCACCATCACCACCATCACTCTCCCCGTAATCATACAAATTCTTTGGATTAAAAACAACCTCAACACCACCAGAAACAGACAAAAGCTTCTGAACATCACCTTCAAAATCAGAAGGATAAGTGGAAAGATCTTCGTTAGGTGAAAACTGACCCGGGTTGACGTAGATTGATACTACAACAACATTGGCGTGTTTGTGAGCTTCGGTGATGAGAGAAAGATGCCCTTGGTGAAGGTAACCCATGGTGGGAACGAAAGCAATGAGTTTAGATTGAGATCTCATTGATCTTGACCAATTTCTCATCTGATTTTTGTCTCTGATTATCAGAGGTTGTTTTTGTTCCATCGGAATCAAAAGGGTTTGGTGAGTTTGAATATCCTAAAATCAAGATTAAGAAGACAGATTTGGGGGAGAAGAAAGGTAATCAAGATCAAGAAGACAGATTTGGGGGAGAGGAAAGGTAACTGGCTATTGAAGAATGATAGGTTTTTTTAAAACAATGATTTTTATCAGGAATAGTGATAAAGGAGCGAGATAGGCGTGCGTACTAATCGGCTCTATCAGCCAAATCAAGATAATTGTGGCCACCCGTGTACTTTCCCAAGAGTCACACGTGTACCCATACTCCTCTTCCCTATTTTGGCTGTTGCATGAGTAACCGATATGTCTTCCGCTTTTCTTTGGATTTTAGTTGGACTGCAAAGTGAAGCGGGTCCCTATGGCAAACATTATTTGGGTTTTGTTTTGGATTGTTGGCCGATAGACTTAGGAGGTATTAAACTTTTTTAATCAAAACATAAAAGTTTTAGGATAAATAAAAACTAGTTGATTATATTAAATCATGCTTAGTGACTCTAAGAAGGTCCTAAACCCTAAAATCAAGAATGCAGTGAAAATCTCTAGCTATCATCTAAGATTTATGGCAAAAAGAAAAACAGCAACCGTAACATCTACAATAATAGCGTTGGATGGTTGAGGTGGCTGTGGAGGAAGAGAAGAAAAATACTCTGGCGATAAATTTTCTCGAGAAAATGATTTTGGGGAAAATCATATATATAAGGATTTGGTATTAGTGAAATTATAAATTTTAATTAAATCATAAATTTTAATTAAAAATCAACTAATTAATATTAACTTTTTTTTTTTTGAATGTTTTTGGATTTGTGTGTTATTATTGTTGATGATGTTTCTTAATAATTTTTTAGATATATATTTTGTTTTTAAATTCTATAAATTTTGATAGATTCATATTATTGTTTTCTCACATAATCATAAGAAAAACACTATTTTTTAAGTATTTGATTTTTATAGCTTTTTGTCATGATTAAAAAAGTCCATGCTAATAAATGTCTCTGGAGTATTTTTTAAAAATTTCAAATAAAGTAAATAATTTTTAAATAAATTAAAGCGTTTTGTTATAACTTATGATATTAAAGGTAGAAAATTTTGTATTTTGTTATAACTTGTAAGACTTTTTGATGTTGTGTGCGTTTACAAAGGTAGAAGAATGTCGTAAGCAAGATTGAGTTCGATGTCATTGGTGGTGACAAATTTCAGTGAAAAGAAGGAGGTTCTTCTCTCCAATTGACTTTGGTAGTGACTGGATGGAAGACTATAGACAAGGTGGAATTCTTCTTAATATTTAGACAGTTCACCGCTCAAGAAATTGGTGGGATCAAGAGGATGATAATCACACACGAAGATTGTGAGCAGATTGGTGAAGCTGGAAGATTCAAGAAGCAAGAATCGAATAAAGAATTAGGTTGTATCCAAGTAAAGATCGAGATTTATTTTTCTCAGCATTATTGGGCATTGATAATTGTATGAACTCTGATAATATTTGTCAAAATTTTGTGGAAGAAAACAGGTTCCAATAGGAAACCATTGAAGAATGGATTAGACTAGACTCTTGCAAGGACGATAGAGCTAAATTACTATATATCACAGTTCTCTCTCTCTCTTCAATTTTCATAGGATATTGCATGCTTAGGTTTTCAATTCTTAGTATAGTTTATCGTTTATTTCAGTTGATATCGATTTATTACGCAAGGTTAGGTTTTATTAGAATTGGTACCTAATTGAGCTTTAGTGCTTATTAAATTCTGTAAAAATTAGTGTTGTTAGAATTCGATATTAATTGAGTCAATTGTACATGTCACATCTCGTGTAGTCTACAATTACTCAATTAATCATTGTCTTTGAATTATCGAAAAATTTATAAATTGGATAATTGTCAACGTGATTGAATTTCAATACAAACGTAAGATCTCTATTTTCGTTTTAAGACTTTCGCACATTTTTGAAAATCCTTTGATATTCTATTTTTAGAAAATCCGTCAAATTTTAATAAGAGGTAAATGGGGCTCTCTTTTCTTATGCTCGAAGTAGGGGAAAAAAATCACTGAGAAGTGTTTCCATTTATGAGAATAGAGAAAGAGATACAATCCACACAGTTCATATAGCTCTAGGAAGCTTTTGAAGGAAGCATGTGTTGTAAAGTATTGTCGATGAAAGAACATTCTAGTCTATCATAGGCTTTATCCATATCTAACTTCAAGCCAATAAGACTCTTCTTGACACTTTGTTATGGTTAAGAGAATGAAAGGATTCAAAAGCAAAAATGATATTATCAATAATTAGTGTACTAGTTATGAAAGCACTTTGGTAAGTATTAGTAATTGTGTTTAATATAGGTTTTATCCGTATTAGACCTGTGGTAGTTATTCTGATTAAGAAAAATAGAAGAATAGGGTTGTGATCTAAACATTATCTCAGAAGATGAGTATTAGAATAATTTTAATAATTATTTTCAATACGCTTAATAAAATAGCCATCAATGAAATTATTATTGGAATCACAAATATTCACTGACCAAAGGGTTAGAGCTGTTTGGTTCAAAATTCTTTTGGTTTTCCAAATTGCATAATTCTTAATTGTGGCCTATTAAGCCATTATTAAAACAAAACATTGGATTTTTCTCAAACCTGAAATCAACACAGGTGATCCCTTCTTGTTCCTTATGTGCACTGGCCTGGTTTGAGAGGTTTAAAATAGAACTTTAACTTTCACAATGATAATCATTTTAGGTTAGAGCAACTCCAATATTGCAACTTATTTTTGGATTTTTTTGGAATCTATTAAGTCATGTCATGTTGAAATAATTCATCTAATTTTTATTTCAATGATGCAACTCTAAAAAAATTAAATTAAGTTCCACAACTTTATCTCATTTTGACAATCCAACAAGAGCAAAAAGAAATGATTTCTCCCCCATTAAAAACTTCGGTAAAACTAAGTGAAAGTTGCTACAAACAAAGTTTGGAGTTTATGGTCCCCTTTAGATATACCAAAAGCTTGGACAAGGTACCGCTGTGGTCGAGTGAAGACTGCTGGAGAACACAGGCTTGGAGCAGATTTTGGATCTAAATAGGTGGAGACCAAGTGAAGCTCATAATTCATATTTGTAACTTGTATACAATAATATAAATTCTCGTTCACTTCAATTAAGTGTAGCTTGTGATATCGATCCAATGCATATTTCATGAAAATTCCACTGCTCCATTTCGTAATAACTTTGATTATAAGAAAATATTTTTTAAAACAGTTTTAAGGGTAAAATCTATTCAACATTCCCTTTTAGACTTCTCTCACTCATATTCCCTTAACAGTTATCACACAACCGTATCAGCTAATCTAACAACACGCCTATCAAAACATGAGGTACCAATTTCAACTCCGATGGATTCAAGTATACCAAGACCAACTCGGGATTGTGTTGTTGAACAATACGTGAATCACAATTCTACTTTATCAATATAATGCACCAATGGTATTAAGAACTCATGTAAGAAACAATGGTTAGATGTAAAATCACGAACATCAATGGAAAAACATTCTGCCTCATGCTACCCGCGAGACTAGACCTACTTTGAAATACAACTAAAATCTAGGCCACAATTTTTTTTGCTTACATAGACTCTGCAATTTTTATGCAGACCCTAGGATTTTGAACGATTCTCAAACAGATTCACAAAACCACATAAACACTAAATATCAGTGAAAATAGTACAATAAAGTGATGCGAAAAGAGTGTTAGTATGCAGAACTCCTTTAAAGGGAAGGAAATGGAATAGAAAGGGTAAGCCAATTCGAACCCGGAGTAGTGAATTTTTCAACAAGGAGAAGGATAACAAGACGAGGGCAAATGAAAATAACTATATTATTACTGGCAAACTTGTCAAATCAAGAAAAACAGGATGCTGAAAAAGAGCATTCAAAACACGATTATTTGTTTCACATACAAATAACAGATAATTATAATTATTCAAACCATTATTTGGAAAAACTACTTAGGACTGAAATATAACTCTAGAGCTAGAGCAGGATATATGATGTGATAATAAAGTGAATCATATTTTCTTGGCAATGAACAAGCCCCACTTCTGCTCACCGCGTTCACCTCTGATCTGCTTCGCCTTCCATCTCTCCACAATTGCACTGTAGTCATCCTGAAAGCAATTAAAGCTTTTAAATTAAGGGAACACACAATACCTCAAAATATAGCATCACAAAAGTCATCTGAGAAACTTACATCACTGAAGTCAGCGATAAATTCGTCCTTACGGCTCTCGAGAGCAAGTAGCTCCTGCTGCAGTGTTCTCACAAACTATAAACACCACAATTAACAATAAAGTAATTTTAGCTTTAGGAGGACTAAAAAATGCAAATGCCAAGCAAACTAGACCAAAGAGTCAAACAAACCTGATCAGTTCGATCCTCAACAATGACATCAAATCCAGCGTTCTTCAGCATCTGCAGATGATTTAGAACACAGATCGTCATGCAAAAGAAAAACAAACTCAAGTTGGGTCCGCTGAAACCAAATGGGTGAAAGAGAATCAGGCAATGAACGGACCTGCTCATATTCTTTCAAGTCATGGACATGGTATCCTCCTTCCTTAATGTACGCAGCAAACTCTGTTGATGGACTTCCAGCACTTTTGCAGTAATCAGTAATTAGAAGTTGACCTCCAGGTTTCAACCATTTGTAAAATGATCTAAATAATGTTGGTTTGTCCTGCATTAATCCAGAGTAAATTGCCAAAAACAAATGTCAAGACTTACGAGTATAGACGAAAAAAGCATCGCTTTGGCCAACCAAATGATTGGTCAAAATTAAGATCCATTATTCTTTTTATTCATGAAAAACCAAGTAGACCAATGCTTTGTTTGCTTGCAAGGGTAAGAACTGAGAAGGAATGACATGCATGAGTAAGAGAGTGGATGACCACTGTGAAATCACTTTCACCCATGAGTTTATGAATTCTTTTATTACAAGCAACGGTCATGGAGTAAGGATATCCAATTTGATAATGTACCTCATGGTGCTTTAAATAAATAACCAAGATGCTTACAGTGACATACACCTATGGCTATGAGGACAAAGCTATCTATATATTCAATGCTCTACTAGATCAACAATTTGATTAAGGGTGAAAAAGAAAATTCCTTACTTTGATGTGTAACATAGCATCACGAGTGTAGATTACATCAAATGTCTTCTCAGGGTATGTTTTTCTAGAGCAATCAGCACAATCAAATTCAACATTGTATTTCAGTCCGATGGCACGCTCAATAGCACGGGAAATCATATTTATGGAGAGGTCAACACCAACAACCTCAACATCAAACTTTTCAGCCATGTAGAAATCGCCTCCACCAACACCACAACCAACATCCAGTACTTTCTGGCCAGCCTTTAATTCCAGCTTTGCTACAAATTCCTTTGTTGTTTCTGTCCAAGCATTAAGCAACTAATGGTTATAAACACAAACAAAATGTTGAAACGGAAGAACTTAACCTTTGAGGGTCTGACCAAGATGATAAATACTCCAGATGAAAAAAGAACAAGAAAAAGTACGGCATCATACATTCAGCAGTCTAAGAACAACATATCATAATTAAAACTACGACAAAAGTATGCATTATGATATATTAAGTGAAAAAGAAAAGTAGTGAATCTTGACATAATTTTCGGGGTGGCCAAAAAAATGATGATATTCTTGTTCATGCTATTAGAAGCCATGTTCTACAAAAATATATGATAAATTTGTTAGGTTTTTTTCTTATCTTCAAAGAATATTCATTCTCATGTTCAACTTTTAAATAATAAGCATCAAAATCAGGCATTTAGAAAGGCAGACATATTGAATATAGAACATTATTTCTTATCATGCGATTCAACCTGAAAAATAACCAATCAATATAATTTAAAAAAAAAGCATACAATTTCCAGTAACTTGAAATAATTAATCATTTATAAAAACTAAATATAGTCTAATCAATAGCCATATCAATGTCAAAAGGAATTTTTAATCTGACTATATGCTAGAAATAAATAAAAATATGACATGTAAAATAAATTAAAAACAATTGAATTTAACAAAAAAATTATAAAAAAAAAAAAAGTATCGTAAGAGCATTTATACTTGAAGATTAACAAAGAGGTACAATTACGCATTTCTCAAAATTTTAGATAAGATATAAATTATATTATAATTTTTGGAAGAATAATAATTAAATGCTAAATTGCGTGTGTATGACATATGTGTACTAAATATACCAAATCAAAATGTTAATATAGTAAAGTGGAGGAATTGCCCCCCAGTCACCGGACCAAAGACGCTACAAATTCAGAACAAAAAGGTAGAAAACATTGGCCAATTATTTCTTGTGCAACCATGCATTATCACATGAATATACAATAATTCTCAACAGCTGGAAGTGTGGGATTCTTAGGTAAAGGAGGTGACATAAGACCTTGTGTACTCATAAAGCAAATCACTTAACAGCAAGTCAGTCAGTTAGTATAGTTTTTATTAGACGGGGTAAATGATAAGGAGTGTCAAGGAAGAACATTCTTCCATGTCAATTTGAAGCAGAGAAAGGAAAATATGATGGCATACCAAGTCCTCCAGCGCTTATAAAGCCTCGGCCATACACATGCTCATATCGTAAAATACTCTTCTCGCTATATTCAACTCTGTCTAAGAACTTCTGGAACCCTCTATCATCATGTGATCTAACTTTCTGCCATAACCAGCAAATCTGCACCATGGAAATATTATTATGCATGTAAACATTAGTCAACTCATGATACTAATTAAATGAATTGGAAATCCTGTTTTATTACTTGGTTTTGATTCTTCTTGTTTCGAACATAAGCTCCAATGCATTTACAACCCACAAGAGAAAGTTCAAAGGAATTCCCCGAACTATCACTCATCTGGCATTCTTTAAATAGCTGCATGAACAAATGAGAGGGAAGATCAACGTTAACAATCCAACAAGGTATTGCAAAATATAATCCGACGAGTGCTTGACATCAACACAGCACTTCAAATTCAATGAATACTCAACTTCAAACACACATTCTCAGAAAATCAGAAAAAACTATAATACGAGACATCAACTGTAAAATTCGGGAGAGGGGCTTGTGACCTTTGGCCCATCTTAACTATCACAACATTCCCATTAGTTTGGGTCAAAAATGTTTTGAAGCTTCTTTATTTAATTGAAAGGTTCTATCCCAAAAAAAATAGAAAGCTTACACTACAATGAGCCCAAAGTTAACAATCTCTTTTTAATCAAACATTAATCTGTCGCAGACTAAAGGAGCGAGGTAACTACATAGAACAAACCTTTGTGTAAAATCTGGGTTCCCTGTAGTGAGTAGGATTGTAATTTCTTTTCGAATCTCCAGATTGGTGGAAACAAGATTCACGAAAGAATATGTATCCATCATCTTTTAACCATTTCATCATCCTTTCTGCTAAATTCTCAACCTGAAGCACAAAGGGAAAAATAAAAGATTAATTATATGATGCCACAAGAGTCATGATTCTTTAAATGAAAAAAAAAATTCCAAATCAAAAGCATGATCATCAACAGATAGTTTGTGTTTTTGGTCAGTACCACCCAAAGCCTTAACAAAGAGTAGAGGAAATAAATACTACACAGTTTTCCCCAATAATTGAAACAAATTCTCTGATGAGTATGACACTCGAATATTTCTCTGCAACAGAAATTAAAATTTATCCTTGCTTAGAAGTTTTTGAATTCACAAATGCCATAAAGCACCAATAAAAGATACATAGAAAAACACCGGAGTTGATTTCATATTTACAGCATGTTTACAGTTAGTTGAAACAATGAGCCATTACTTTGCTACTCCTCAGTCATACATCCTGTTGACTACAAAATGCCTTGATTGAAAATAAAATTATGAAAGTTTTGTATGTGAGCTCTAAAATAAACAAAACTGACCTCATTATCTGAAAGATACATTAGTAACCAATTTGAAAAAATCACATCGACAGATCCTTCAGAAACAGGCATGTTTGGAGATGTGACATCAGCACACAAAAACTTGACATTTTTGTAGTGTCCATTAATGCTTTCATTCTGCAGAACATTATAAGTGATTTAGTTTAATTCACAATGAGCATCTTATGTTTGTGAGTACGTGTGTCTCTGCATGCATCAAACATATCATTTCTCATAATGGTAAGACAATGCAATGACCTTCTTTATTGCACTCTCAATGAAGTCTACAGCAATTAATTGACCAGCTTTCTGGGCCAACTCTCCAGTAAATCTTCCAATACCAGCTCCAAGCTCAATAACTGATTTTCCTTCATATGGTGGTAGTAGGGAAAGTACCTGTGTAAATAAAACAGATGAGCACAAAAGCACCGTCTGACTTTACAAAATATGTAACTCAAAGGGATAATGAAAGGGAACATAAATAAATCCACAGGTCTCTTATTAAAATGAGTGAAATTTGATGTATCTTAGTTGAAGTAAATTCTTTCTTTTTCCTATTGTCATACTTGTGATTTCGATTACATTATAAATTAGATCAGCACATTATTGGGTGAAATTCCTTAATATTGCAATTTGCAAGTAGAGAAAGAGGCGTGTGAAAACACAAAAATAGGACTCAAAAGTGTAAGGGGTGGATGAAGTTTCAAAACAGGGGAAAAGACAGAGCAAAGTACTGCAATAATGAGTGAACATAGAATAAAACACTATTTCAAATTATTCTCTCGGTTCAAACCGATACTTGACTAACTGCACATACAACCATAACATATCTTCCGTGGTAAACCTATAATCAACTAACTTAAGGGATGACCGTAACTGAATATTGTTTAAATTTGTGACGAGTATATATTGACTGTCATGATTAGTTCCTCTAACACCTTCACTGTGTAGGCCCGCATGTGTATAAATTAAAAACCGCACATATTCCAGTGATGAACTTTAAACTGAATAACCTCCACAATAAAAGTAAAAAAACACAAGTTTTGCAAGTGCGACCAAACATGATGGATAGGTAAAATTTAAGTGTTTAGATCAATAAAAGTCACATTCCATACAAAATTATTCATAAGAATTTAAAGTATTACACCCTACCAATAAAACAACGCTGCAAAGTAACTATACTATAAAAAGCAGATTAAACAATTAGAGTTTATCAGGGTACATAGTTTAAACAAGTAAAATTATTTAAATATGGAAAGGTAGGTGAGCTGGAGTCCAAATCGATATGGTAATTCACAGTTTTTATGTTAAGGAATAAATTGTGATTAATTCACACGGCGACAGTGTTTTGACACCTGTAAATCGCAAAAGCCTTTAAACAACGTATTTCTAAAACCTTGACGCAACAGCCTAGATTTAGATATAGAAATAATGAATAGATAGTGACATTGAGTAAGAACCAGACAGAATTATCCACCAGAGTAAAGTAAGGAGCATAAAAATGCTGCAATTCAAAGATCCAATCAACACAGGAGAGAGATTCGTATATAATTGAATTATGAATGAAAAAACAAAAATAAATCTGAAAAACTACCTCAGGTCTTTCTTCCTTATCGAGATCGGAAGCTTTGGAATCGAGCATCATTGCCTCGACAGAGAGATCAGCACAATGCTGAATCCAGTATGATTTCTGAACTTCGCGTTCATCCCTGACTGCAAATTCAAATCGAACGAAAACTGAAAATTGGAAAGTGAAATAGGAATTGTATGACATGAAGAAGAAGAAGAGAGTTAGTTACCGGAAGCCATTGGAGAAGAATGAAGAATGAAAAAGTTTAGGTGAGAGGAAATGGAAATGGAAATGGAAATGGAAAAGTTCAACTGCCTTCAATAGCAAGGCGAGATCTAGAGAAACTCCTGGATCTTCGGTTATAGCCTCTTCCTCTCTGCCGCATTAATGATTTAATTAGCAACAACTCTCTATCTCTATGCACTGCCTCCTTCTTCACACCAAAACCTTCTTTATATATACTCTTATATATACAGTTATACACCCTTTCATTTCAACCATCCTTTATCAAAAATTAAATTATTATTTTAGGCTAAGATATTTTACACATATCAATATCAGATCTTATAAGACAACAAAATTCATTATTTATATATTTATATTTATGCTAGGATTAACTAATTTTCAGATCTATAACCCATTGTTATGTGAGATGTTTTCAAGATTAATAATAATATTTTATAATTTATAATTTTAAGTATGTATAAATTATAGAGATAGATTGTCAATGCATCACAATTATCTGTTAGTATTACTATTTTATAAATAATTAAAATTAAAGTCAAATTTTTTTAATAAATCAACGGTTGTGATTTATTGACTGTGTAAAAAAAATTTATATTATCAATGTATATCAATTAAATTCTAAAATAAAATAATTAAGTCATTATATTTATAAAAGTTGTGAAATTATTTTTAAAAAAAATTTAAAAATTTAATTTATAAATCTCAACAAATAATATACATTAATTCATAAATATAAATAAATTTTAAGGTTATGCTAACCCGTGCTCCCGACTTAAAAATTTTAAACAGAGAAAATATTATATCTGTAGTACATAATATAATTTTTTTAAAATTTAATTGTTTCTATATTCAGTACATTAAAAACACGTATATTTTTCAAAAATATCACTTTAGTTTAATTTTTTAAGAATGTTCAACTTTTTTATTTAATCTTTTAACTAGTGATCTAGAAACACTCATTTGTATTTTCCTAAATATTATCTTCAATAATCAAATTTCGAATTCTTAAATTACATTCATTTAAGTTAACAAAAACTTAAGAATGAAAAAAGTTATGGGTTATTTTAATTTTTTAACTATAGATAAATTTAATATATTGCTCTCTTTTCAAACTAAAATTCTATGGTATCAAAGTAATGTAATTTTTTTATACAATGTTATTGAAACTTTTATTAAAGTACAAGTTGGTTTTTAACTAGAAATTGAATAGTTTTATCATAGATTAATTTTCATAAACAGTAAATAATTGTAATAAACTAATAAAAGTCTTTCTTAAATGTTTGAAATAAAAAAGTATAAATTTAATTCAATTATAAATATTTATAAAAAATAAATGAATACAGTATTTTATATTGATAAAGAATAAATTGACTTACTCTATAAGGTTAGAGATTATAAGTGCAAAACTTAATATATGTTTTGTAAGTATATTATTCGGTTAGAGTTTAACTTACGAGAATGTAACTTGAAAACTTAATTAACAAAGTTAGTTTTTTAATTTAAAACTTCTAAAATACGTATATACAGAATAATTAAAGTGTCTATAGAGAGAAGAAAATATTAAAATATGAGTAAGATTCCCTTACATTGCGATGAGGCGAGACGTAGGAAAGAAACAAACGATACTTGAAAGGAATCTATGAGGATCTCATCGGGCCAATACTTGTTCGCCACGTGGTTTTTCAATCACATCATGCTTTTTCTTTTTTTTGTTTAAAGTCAATAATTGTTTGTAAAAGGACGATAATCATTTGTTTTTTTACTGTGACAATTAGTAGAAGACATGATCCACCACCAAAACACACATATGGTAGAATTTAAAATCTTGTGAGTCACACAATAACCAAATTATTGGTGCTTCTACACAAAATATCTACTTAACTTTGTACCCAAAAAAATCCATCTTAACTGTTTTGGTGGCCGCTTGCAGTTTTCATGTCCAATCACAAACATTATATAGAAATGTGAATGAAAAAAAAAAAAAAGCTAAGATCTCACTTAAGCAGGGACATGTTATCTCGGCTTTTAGTTTGCATTTCGTTCTTGGATCTTATTAAATAGAAATCCATACAATGCTTTGAATTAGAGGAAAGTAAATGTAATAGTTTGTACTATAGAAGTTTTGCATGCCCCAATTTAAGATAGGGTTGTATACGGGTGGTTGGATTGAGTTTGATTTAATTTGTTATTCAATCTATTTAAATTTTTATGACTTAGATTTATGATTCAACCTGCAATTTCGTTATCAATATTTAATCGAAATGCCCGTTTATTTATGATCCTTCTAAATATTTAATATTTTATATGTTTGTGGTCTTCCTAAATATTTTATATATCATTTTTAGTCTTTCAAAAAAAAAAATTTAAGAATGATTCTCCTAAAAATTTTCATACACATATTTTTATTAGTAATAATTCATATTTTATTATATTATTTTCTTAAGCCCATAAGTTTGTTAGAGGGCATTTCAGTATTTTATCTTATTCTAGTAACCCTAGTTTTAGCCTATAAATAGGGTGACAATCATTGTAACTCTTAATCCTGTTTCTTCTGCCGTCATTCTCTTTAATAGAATATTTCCCTATTTTCATCATTTATTCTATCTTTGCACCAACAATTGGTATCTAGAGCTCTGGTTCAGATTCATTGGGAAACACGGGAAACACGAGTGAACGTGAGGTCTTGTGTGTTTGATTTTGATTTTTAGATTCGTGTTGAATCTTGAACAAAATCTGATCAGAATTTTATTCTGTGGGTTGGGAAACACTGTGTGAGAAATCTGAGTGTATTGTGCAAAGTAGAAGATGAACGGAAACGGCAACATGAACACCAAACTTCCAGTATTTGATGGTAAAAACTGGAATCGTTGGATGATCCAAATGCGTGTACTATTTGGTGCTCAAGATGTTCTAGATCTTGTCACTGATGGTTATGTTCCAGTAGCAGCAGATGCAACCGATGAACAGAAAAACGCGCAGAAGGAAGTAAGAAAGAAGGATCAGAAAGCATTGTTCTTCATTCATCAATGTGTGGATGTAAACGTGTTTGAGAAGATTGCAGACTCTACAACAGCAAAGGCTGCATGGGACACTCTGGTGAGATGTTATGGTGGTGACGCATCAGTGAAGAAGGTGAAGCTTCAGTCCTTGAGAAAGCAATATGAGAATCTCAACATGAAGAATAATGAGAAAGTTTCTGAATACATCTCCAGAGTGATTATGATCACTAATGAGATGAAGGCATGTGGAGAAACTCTTTCTGAAGAAACAATCATGGAGAAAGTATTGAGATCCCTTACTCCTCAATTTGATTACATTGTGGTAGCAATAGAACATTCCAAAGATCTGAGCACAATGAGAATTGAAGAGCTGCAGAGCAGTTTAGAAGCGCAAGAGTTGCGTTTGACTGAGAGAACTTCTGAAAGGGAAGTAGAGCAGCAGGCTCTGAAAGCAATTTCTGATAGGAGGTATCAGAAGCAGTCAGAAGCCAAGAGAAGATCTGATGGTGGTCAGAAGTCAGAAACCTCAACCTCTGATAGACAAAAGAATGCTCAGAAGGGAAAAGAGAAGTATGACAAGAAGAAGATCCAATGTTACTGTTGTAAGAAGTTTGGTCACTTTGCTAGAGATTGTTGGTCAAACAAGGAGAAGAAATCAGAAGAAGCAAATATAGCCAGAGGCTCTGATGACGAATCTGTGCTGTTGATGGCCTCTGAATCTGATAATGTGGATCTGACAGACTGGTGGTACACTCTGATGTGTGTGGTCCATTTCCAGTAGCATCAATTGGAGGGAATAAATACTTTGTGTTGTTTGTTGATGAATTCACAAGAATGACATGGGTATCCCTTATTAAGTTCAAACACGAGGTGTTTGATGAATTCAAGAAGTTCAGAATGAAGGCTGAGAATCAGAGTGGTCAGAAGTTGAAGATTCTTAGAACTGATGGTGGAGGTGAGTATAACTCCAAAGAGTTCCAGAAGTTCTGTGAGGAGAATGGAATTGAGCATGAGGTTACTGCTCCTTATACCCCTCAACACAATGGTCTTGCTGAAAGAAGAAACCGTACTTTGCTTGATATGGTGAGAAGCATGCTAAAGGAGAAGAAGCTTCCTCAGAAGCTCTGGGGAGAAGCTGTTGCCACTGCAACGTATGTACTCAATAGATGTCCTACGAAGAAGTTGAAGGAAATAGTTCCTATGCAGAAGTGGACTGGAGACAAGCAAAGTGTTAGTCATCTGAAGGTATTTGGTTCTGTTTGCTATAAACATGTTCCAGAAGCCAGAAGACAGAAGCTGGATGATAGAAGCAAAGTGATGATTCTGATAGGGTACCACAGTACAGGTGCATACAAGCTCTATTGTCCAGAAACCAATAAAATTGAATTCAGCAGAGATGTGATTGTGAAGGAATCAGAAGTTTGGAATTGGGATAAGTCTCAATCTGATTCTGATGTTAGAACCTCTGAAGAAAGGCCAGAGTTAAGAATTTCTGAAGTTGAAGTAAACCCTGATATTGACTCTGACTCTGATACTGATTCAAACTCTGAAGAAGACTCAGAAAATGAAGGTGACCCAGATGACCCAGACTCTGATGATTCAGACTCTGATGGCAATCCAGATCTTGGTGGCAATTCAGACTCTGGAAATATGCCAGACTCTGAAAATGGTCAAAGCTCTGGAGGTCAATCATCTGAAGCTAGAAACTCTGAAGCTCAAGACTCTGAACAAGTTCAGAGACCACAAAGAATCAGAAGCGTTCCCAGAAGATTTGCAGAATTTGACATGCTGCAAGACACTGAAGTAGACTCTGAAGGAGAAGTTATTCAGTGTGCCATGTTAGTAGACTCTGAACCTATAAGTACAGAGGAGGCTCTTAAGCAGAAGCTCTGGCTGAAGGCCATGAAAGAAGAACTTGATGCTATAGAGAGAAACAAGACTTGGAAGCTGACAGAACTTCCAAAAGACAAGAAAGCCATCAGCGTCAGATGGGT